GTCGTTAAAGTTTCGTCGGAACGAATTTACGGAAAATTAACTAACGAACGGAGACGTAACAATATTATCAAATTTATGTAAGTGCATTAAAACGTCAGAGCGAGAAATTTTATTGAGTTTCTTTTAAAAGTTTTGAAAAATATAAAGAAGTATAAAATTAGAAACTTTCATTTTGTAATGAACATCGAAACTTTGTATTTTTTATAAACTAAATTTTCAACCATGTTACACGGTACCTAATGCCCGTAATGGAACTTGAAATTGGAAGTTGTTTGAAAAACTTAGTATAAATTATTTTTTCATGTTACAAGTTCTAATTCATTTGTTTCAAGATGGTAGGAGTATATGCACGCTTCAGATAAGGTAAGGGTGACACCTTGATGAAAACATGGAAATGTTGAAAAACTTGAATGTAAAAATCGAACCTTTTTCTGATCCTGAGGAGGAGAATGCTTTGTTGGATATGAAGTTTCTGAAAAACGAAAAAGAACCTTCTAGTTCTAGTGAGTTCAATATTTAGAATTTCAGTCGTCTGTGAACTTTGTAAAAATTACTGAACTAACATGGAACAAATATGTGCAAGAACCTCTAGTTGTGTTTATTGAAATATGAAATCAGCTGTAATTTGTAAAATAAATTGTAGTAACTATTATTCACCAATGTTACAGAACAAATGATTAATAATAACACATAAAAACTGTCAAAATTTTTGTTTGTTGTTTAATTAATTAATTTATTTTTAAAAATTCATGTGTAATTTTTGGCTTGGGCATTTTGTAAGATCTGTAATTTTTCATTATGAATATGAGAATAATAGTTTCTGGTGAACAGCCATAATTTATTTCATGAAGTGAAAAGTAAATGCAAGATACACTATAAAACAACTGTTAGTGGTAGAATATGTCAATTTAACTAGAATAATGAAATATGAAATGAATCATTGTTTTTTAAAAATTACTTTGTAGTTGGGATAGGTTTTGCTTTTGTTTGATCTTTAAATTCTGAGGATCCTTTGAATTAGCTAAACTATTCAGTATCTTGGCAAAAAGTATACTATATTAGGGCTGAAATATACATCTGGACCTAGCTATTTTGACCAAGGCAACTGCTAAACTTGTATAATTAATACCTTCATTACTAATTTGCACTAAAATACAATCCTACCAATTTGTTTGTGGCATTAATCTATTATTAGTATCAGGTTTTTCTGAGTGATGTTTTTACCACACACTCATCTGGTTAGTGGTCAGGATATTGATCAACTTGTTTAGCCTCCCCCCTCTCCTCAGGTGTTAGTTATTCTTCATTGTGGATCGGATTCTAAATGTTTTTTTGTGCAGGATGTGCCAAAGTTTTCATAGATTTCTGAAGTATTTGATATAAATTATCAAAATACCAATTGCTACTTGAAAAGAAAGAGAAAATATTTCATTATATTTTTGGTTTGGAAACCAGCTTTGAAAATTTCTTTAGCAATACATCTGTATTTGAACGAGTGTGAAATTATGAAGAGAACTTCAGACTTTTATGGTGTGAATGATTTTCCAAGCTAGCAAAGCATGATTATAAGAATACAGTGTTAAAAAAATATATAATAGGCCTAGTTCTAATGTCTTAAGATTGGAAAAAGTGTTCACCTCATAACAGTTGTTGTAGGTTGTAGCCTACATAAATTGTGTTCTGACAACTACTGTGTTGATTGTGTCCCTGCTGACTTAATGAGCTTTGGATTTAATGAAATGCTTTGACAAAGGATATGGCGAACATAGTGTGGTTGGAATACTATTATTATTATTATTTTACACACTTCTAATTCTTGAACATTCCTAGGAACTAGTTAAAGAATGCAATGTTAAAAAGTATAGTAGTCCTAATTCTAATACCTTATGACAAGTAGGCAAGTATAATTTATTAGAATTCCTAATTTATTTTATTTTCTTACCTGAATGTTTTAATACAAAGATAAAATGTGATAAGTCCTTGTAAAAGAGAAAAAAAAAATTACTCCCACAAAAATTATATATCTGGATCCCCTCTGAATTGAAAAAAAAAGTAGGTTTTTCCATGATCAACCACTTGCATTGTATAATGAATTGAATTCTACACCAGCAGAATGAAGTGTGTGTGTTTATAGACCTCGATTGTTTTGTTTTAAATAAAATATTGTATACATTTGTTAGATTCTACCTTGTGAAGAAGAACAAGTAAGATTCTATTACAATAAATGAAATTGGGCCAGCTTGCTCTTGTTTAAAATATCTTGTTCAATTCTTGGGAAGGCATGCTGCTCTCTTGACTTGTGCTTGAGAGAACCCCCACCCTTTATTGTGTCTGCTGTGTTTTTGAATAAGAAATAAGTCAGAGGATAGAGTATTTTTTATTTTTAAATAGTTTATTGATGAGCAATTTAATAACCCAAGTTGTGTCTCAGTGCTATGTGTATCATATGCCAGTAATTGTGTAAAAACCCTGGTATTGAGTGAAAGGCATAGTTGGCACAGGATATAGCAGATATACGTTTTGTATAGTTAACACTATTTTACATTATTTTTATTTTCAATCAGAAGTTTTTATTCTTAATTACTAACCACCTGAGAAGAATGTCAGTGAGAAGTTATATAATACAGCCAGTGCTATTATTAATAGTGATTCTGATGCTACAATTATGAGAGACCGTAAATTTAAACATATAGATTTGGATTATATAGAATCAATTAGTGAAGGAGAGAAATGTCATTGCATAGCTGTGGTTGGTTCACAATAAATAATGAGGGAAGCAGTTAGAGAAAATGCAATTTAAAATTGATTGTTAACTGCTAATTAAGATTAACATTGCTCAAGTAAGTTTAATGTTTTGTTACATGTTGAGATCAAGTAAAATGAAATCTTAATATCTAATCTTTAGATAACAACGTTTATAGTTAATGAATTGGGATGATGAGTTGAAGGGTGATACTAGTCAGCTCTGGGAAATTTTTTAAAATGGCTTACTTTTAATTAAAGAAAAACATTCTTGAAAAGGATAAAAGAAGATAAATGTAATTGGCTTCCTAAGAATAAAAGAAAAAATTCACTTGAGTGACAACTATATAAAATAGTCAGTTGTAGTTTGTGGTATAGTGTAAGCTAACACTTGGGTTTGCTCATAGACAGTGTATACCTTGACATAGCCACTGTTAGTGGCTTGGATGATGTTAAAGTGATAAGCATCACAGTTGCATGCAAAGAAGCCACATCTGGTACCTTCATCTTATAGATAGTGTCATTCAAATACCCCATCTAGACCAGTGGAGAAAAATAAAACCTTCAGACATCAGTCCTTCACATGCTGCAAAATGTAACTTTCTCTGCAGTAGTTTCTATTCAGTTCATTTATGAAAGAGGTTCAATAATTTATGGAAACCCTGTACCATGTTATGAATATCATACATGTAAGTAATATTGTAAGAGTAATTAATTTATGAATAATTTGTATGTCAAAAACTGATATTCAGAGGAATAATATATGAAAATTATTCTAAATGATTTCTTAGTGTGTTTTATTACAATTATATGCTGTTATATCAGTAGGATAGTTAAGGACAGACAGGTGGGAATGGACTAGTCTAAAGAAAATGTGTCATTTAACAATGAGAATGTGTTACAATGTTGTGATACACAGAAGTCATGTTCAAATGTGTTCTAACAAAGCTTTTATTTCACTCCTCTAGTGACAAGAGAAGCTGTTTCCCCAGAAGAAGAATCTTTATTTACAGTCTTTGATTTTAAAATAAAGAAAGAAAAGTATGATGAAGTACCTAAGGAGTCTGAGGTAATTTGTAGATTAAAAATATTTATAATTCTCTTGATTGGGCAAAATAGCAAGATATTTTTTCTGAAAACATTTATGTAGTATTGATGTTATTTAATATCTCGCAAGACATTTGGGTTTTGGAATATGTTACAGTAAATAGAAAATTTTTATCTGTAAACACAATGTACCTTAATATTCATCATCATGAAATGTTTGACATAGGTGAATGATGTTTCAAAAACTGTGAATTTCATGTATCTGTGTTAATTTCCAGCATTTTAATATCTGCATTTTATATGAATCACTCTCTTACTTTTTATATAATACATTTTATTGATTTTGTAAATACACTGTAAAAAATAGTTCTTTCTGTTCTAGTTTCCACTGCTTGTAACACCTCATGTATATAAATTTTATTACAGGTTAACTGGTATTATATTCATTGTTTAGAGAATTTCTAACCTTGATCATAAACACAACATTGTGTCAACTTAACATACACTTTTCGCTTCTTTGACCTCACATTATCACATTTGTTTTAACATCTTTTTTTTGAACTTTATTTGCTTTGTATGTCATCTCACTTTTGTGATGTAACATTGTTTCTTAATTACTACTTCATTCTTATTTTTCTTTAGTAAATTGTTTTTATTATATATTTTTAACCCCTTGACGTGGATTCCTGTACATAGTGAGGGGCCCTCCCAGGGAAGGTTCTGTATTTTCAGTTACTTCCTCTGGGATCTAAACATCCACCCACGTGTTTGCCGTGTTTGGCAACCGGTGAAGGGGAGGAGGGGATCCTGGTGGTTGAGTGGTGTCCGGGTGACTGCAACACACCACTCTGGCTTTCAATTCATGTAGATGGGTAGCCTTGGGGTGGCCTCCCCCAGGGTCAGTCGGCTGGTCCACTCGGGCTAGGGTCAACTGAGTACCAGTGTTGTGGACATCGTGTCTGATGCTGATGTTTGGGTATAGTGCTCACGAAACCCTGGCATTGCTGCAGTGTCCTTGTTTGACGTTGTAGTGCGTCCCCTCGTAGGACTCCATGGTGGGTGGGGTCAGTGGGCACTGAATCTTTCTTCTTAATTATGGATCCCCACAATCCAAATAAAAAAATAGTAAAAACTCAGCTTATTGGTAAACAACCACGCTTAGAAGACTCTGAACAGCAGTCTCCACCACAAGGTGGACCTGTACCTCGCTTTCTGATCTTGCATGCACTATCCGATAAATCTTTAGGGCAAATGTCTCCCTTTTTTATTCAGAAGGGCTTAGAGGGGCTTGCTGGCTCTCCAAAGGCAGTTAAGAAGCTCCGTTCTGGAGACATCTTGGTTGAAACATCCACAGCTAAGCACAGTGAATTCCTTTTGAATTCAAAGACCATCAGGGATATACCCATTGAGGTTACTCCCCACGCTTCCTTGAATTCCTCACGAGGAGTTATTATTGAGAGGGACTTGAAGTCTATCCCCGAGTCAGAGATTCTTGCTGATTTCTCCAGCCAAGGAGTTTCAGCAGTTTGAAGGATCTTCACTCATCAAGATGGTATTATGGTGCCAACCCCAGTTCTGATTTTGACGTTTTCATCTCCACGTCCACCTGCCACTGTTAAGGTGGGTTATTTGAATTGTAAGGTATGCCCCTATATTCCCAACCCTCTCCGATGTTTTCAGTGCCAGTGGTTCGGTCACTCAAAGAAATGTTGTCGTGGTTCTGTGAGGTGTGCTCGTTGTGGTGGCAAGGACCATGATGCCTACGAGTGCAAACTGGATCCTCACTGTGTTAATTGTAGTGGTTCCCACCCCTCTTACTTTAGGTCTTGCCCTAAGTGGGTGGAAGAAAAAGAGGTACAGCGTTTGAAGACTATTAATAACACCTCTTATCCTGAGGCTCAGAAGATATTGTTCCCTACTCCATCTCGAATATATGCCACTGCACTACGCTCCACTGATACAGTGGGAGTGCAGACGGATCTTTCCGTGCCTCCATCTGAGTCTTTTTCATGCCATGTGAGAGGTCTTCTGCCCTCCATGGATACTAGAGTTGATAGGTCTATGTCTACTCCAATCTCTGTCCCCACTATTCCTTCCAGTGACTGTCTGGGTCAACCTCCATGGGCACCACCCTCGTGTCTGCTTGGGTCCTTCTTTGACCCCTGAATGCAGGACGATCATTCGATCACATCCTCAATCATTGGATTCTCACTCTGATGATAGACTCCTATCATCCCGTGTGTCTTTCTTTACAGGAAACATTTCTGAAACCTGTCGATACAGTCACCTTTTGGCAGTTTTCTTTGTATCGGAATGACAGGTTGTGTGATGGGTGAGTACATGGAGGGGTGGCACTGCTGGTCAATCAGCATGTGCCCTCCTTATCTATGTCCCTCAATACACCCTTGGAGGCCGTAGCCATCCGTGTTTCCTTGGGTCGTACCATCATTGTTTGTTCTCTCTACCTGTCTCCTGGGGAGACTTATGTTCAATTGGACCTTGGTGCTTTCGTTGACCAGTAGCCATCTCCCTTTTTACTTCTGTGAGACTTTAATGGACACAACCCCCTCTGGTGTGGTGCTGATATTGATGGGAGGGGGTCGTTCCATAGAGCATGGGCTCTTGGATCATGACCTTTCTCTCTTCAATACTGGAACATATACTTATTTTCATGCACCTAGTCAGTCTTTCACTGCCATTGATCTCTCGATTTGCTCCCCTTCACTTTTTACTCACTTTTCTTGGATGGTCGACAGTGACCCACGGGTCAGTGATAATTTTCCTATCATTATGAGGGATGTTGGTCATGGTCGATGCCACCCGACCCATGTGCCACGGTGGAAGTTGGATCAGACTGACTGGCCATCTTTCACCTCTCTCTCTGAACTTGATCCTGCCTTTGTCTGTCTGCCATCAATAGACGATTGTGTGGTTGCAGTGACTGACTGTATCGTCCAGGCATCTGCTCATTTTATCCCTAAGACCTCGACAGGTTTTCCACGGTGGAGTCCTGCCTGCCAGGAGGCACGAAAGGCTCAAAAACGGGCCTGGGATACCATCCGATGGTACCCCTCTCTTTCTAACCGCATTGTTTATCAGTGGGCCCATGCCCATGCTCGGCAGGTTCAACGTCAAAGGCAAAAGGAGTCTTGGATTACGTTCACTACTAGCATCTCTTCTACCACCAGTTCCAAAACTATGTGGGACAAGATTCAAAAAGTCACTGGGAGGTATGCTTTCCATCCCCCTTTTCATCTTGCTCTCCAATGGCCAGGAAGCTGCTGATGTCCAGAGCATTACTGATGTTCTTGGCCACAGCTTTTCTCGTGCTTCTAGCACTTCTGTTTCTTCCTCTGCCTTCTTGGCCATCAAGTCTCGGGCAGAGCGATCGCCTCTTTCTTATCGGGCCGATCATCTCTATGATTGTAATTGCCCCTTTACACTGGTGGAACTCAAACTTGCTCTTCATTGGTCTGGTAGTACATCGGTTGGACTTGATGATGTTCATTATGAGATGTTGCACCATCTCTCTTCTGCCTCTCTTGCTATTCTTCTGGTTATTTTTAACCGGATCTGGCAGGAACATGTTTTTCCTGATGCTTGGTGCCAGGCTATTGTCCTCCCCTTCTCCAAGACTTCTTCTAATTATCATCCCATCGCTTTGACTAGTTGTCTTTGTAAGGTCCTAGAGAGGATGGTTAATGCTCAGCTTGTTTGGTTCCTCGAATCAAACACACTCCTCTCACCCACCCAGTGTGGGTTCAGTCGATAGCACTCCACCATGGACCATCTGATTTGACTTGAAACATCGATCAGGGAAGCCTTTCTCAAGAGAGAACACCTTGTTTCTGTGTTTTTTTATCTCGAGAAGGCTTGTGACACCACGTGGAGGTATGGAATTTTGCAGGACCTCCATTCCTATGGATTGTGTGGCCATCTACCCATTTTTATTCAAAACTTTTTACTGAACAGGCATTTCCAAGTTCGTGTGAGTTCAACTCTTTCCCGTTTCTTTCCACAGGAACTTGGACTCCCTCAGGGCTGTGTGTTGAGTGTCACAGTTTTTAGTGTTAAAATTAATGCCATCACTAACCTTCCTCTGACTGTTGCAAATGGGCTCTATGTCGACGACTTCCACATCTCGTGTCAGTCGTTGAACATGAGGTTTATTGAGCGGCAGCTTCAGATTGCCCTCAATCGGTTGTTGACATGGACCACTGCAAACGGTTTTAAATTTTCTTTTTCCAAAACCGTTTGCATGCATTTTTGCCGCCAACGGGGTCTCCACCCCGATCCTGAGCTCCGTATTGGCGATATAGTTATTCGTGTGGTCCCTGAGGCAAAGTTCTTGGGGCTTATCTTTGACCGTAAGCTTAGCTTCATTCCGCACATCAAGCAGCTACGTGTCAAGTGTGCAAGGGCTCTGAACATCCTCCGTGTCCTCTCTTCCAGCTCTTGGGTAGCGGATCGATGTTCTATGCTCAGGATCTATCATGCCCTGATTCGATCCAAACTGGACTATGGGTCTTTGGTCTATGGTTCTGCCAGGACCTCGGCCTTGAAGATGCTGGACCCCATTCACCATCTGGGTCTTCGGCTCTGCACCAGGGCTTTTCGCACTTCTCCAGTCCAGAGTTTGTACGCTGAGTCCCACGAACCTCCTCTTCACCTCCGTCATTTGCAACTTTCTTTACAATATGCAACCAAGCCTCGATCCTTACCACAGCATCCCACCTGGGATTGTTTCTATCTTCCTCGATGTGCCATGCTCTTTTGGAACAGACGGTCTGCTATTCCTTCCTTTGGCCTTCGTATCCAGGCACAACTTGTTGAACTGGGTCTGGCATTGGATGACATTGCTGTCCCCAATGATCAGCTCATTCCACCATGGCTTATTACCATCCCTTCCTGTGACCTTTCTCTGAGTCATCTGAGGAAGGTGGATACTCCCAATTGGAAGTACCGTCTTCTTTTTGCTGAACATCTTTCAAGCCATTCTTCTCTTCCTATTTACACGGATGGTTTGAAATCGGGTGACTCTGTAGGTTCTGCCATGGTGTGCTGTGGCTCGGTAGTTGCTCGCAGGATCCCCTCTACAGTTTCTGTTCACTGCCGAGTTGTATGCTATTTCTCTTGCCCTGGATCATGTAGAAGGTATGCAGTACAGTAATTGTACTATTTACACTGATTCTGTTAGCTCTCTACTGGCCCTGGAATTGTTTAACACTGGTACTCACCCTGTTCTCATCGATATTCAATACCGATTGGCTTACTTTTCTCTATCTTCTATTTCCATCCAGTTTTTCTGGATCCCTAACCATATTTCTGAAAGTAACCATAAAGCAGTTATACTGTAACTTTTTAAAATGTGCATGTATCTTCACATATTATCAGTATACAAGTATACATTATCATAAACAAAAGTATCAGATTTTTAAATTAAGTTTTAACATTTTTTAATTAATTATTTGCTCATGCATTTTTTATTTTTGAATATTGACTGTCCAACATGTGAAGTAATTTTGATTTTAAGATTAAAAATACTTTTATGCATCAGAAAATTGTCAAATTTCACATGAGAAATTTCTATAACCTCCTAATATCCTCCAGATAATTATCAAACATTTTTTTAGAAAAAAACTTTATATTTTATCTGTTACTTTCACTGTTGTATCTCTATATGGGTTTGGTCAAATCAAGTGACCTCGTAACTGCCATAAAAAGAAATAGGAAATAGATATAAGTTATGTTTTTTTCATTCTAGAATTACTACAAATTATAACACAAAATCACAAATGTTTAGTCTAAATAGCTTAAATCTCATAACATTATACAAATAAAAAAAATTTATTATTTTCCATTTTATTGACCTTTCAGCAATGTCTGATTAACATTACAGAGGTTGAATGATGCAGTGCATGTGCACTCATGTTACCGTATACAATAATATAAAACTGGCCTTTAAAAAGTGACCTGTCTTGGCTGTGTTCCAGTATTTTGTAAAATACAGTCACATTTTGATCATAATACGTTATATATGTTTATCATTATTACTTTTTACAAATAAGTTCTTAAATTTTATTAAAACATAGAACAGTAAATAAAGAAGTATAGAAAACAGTTATCTTTTCTAGTTACAAACTTTGTACTCATTTACTGCTTGCTGTAATTTGCTAAGCCTTATCAAATTTTGCATTTGGAGAATGTAAAATGAAATAATTTTTCTAGGTATTATGTATGTTTTCTGAAATAACAAATCATAAATTACAATATAAATACCACAGAATTCCACTATAAGTTATCAGGCTTAGTAACTAAGCTGTATCTGGGTGTAAAAAATTAAAATTTTTTTAGCTCAATAATGTCTTATCTTACCTCTTGGAATCTACCATTAAAAAAAGGGTTTCCTATGTAAATACTTCGCAAAGCCTCATAGAACCATCGTGGGAGACATCTGAGCTTTCGATTGATTATACATATGCCATAGACAGAAGTAGGTGTATGTTAGCAAGTATTTTCAAAAATGGAAAGAGATGGGTGGAGCCACTGTGTTTGATTCACTAAATGTACTGATATCTCAGCAAATAGAAAACATAGGAGGTTCTTATTATATATATTATAGCTTGTAAGTATCAATAATTTGAATTCATAAGAAACTATAGATTTTGTATTTGGATATCCTAAACATCTAATCTGAACCAATGTGGCACACAAACATCAATATTTAGGATTTTTTTAATAATTACTTTTAAATTAAGAAACTAACTGATGTATAATACTAAAATTTGAATTATAATTTACAATTTGATACCAAACTCAGTGAGATACATTCATGAAATAGTAGTTCAATAAAGTCTACAATGCAAGTCTACAAACATGATGACATAGCCTTTGATCTGTGACCATAGGAAGACCCGTCAGACCCATCTCAGTAGGGTTAGCTGGTTTGACTTAGAGAGTCTAAATAGTTCAATAATTATCAATATTGTGTGGAACTTATATGGATCGAAAGATTTTTTCTTTTCATACAAGGTATGTCTTTGTGACTGACCTTGTAATCACAAAGTAATCATGAAAGTTTTCATACTATAACTTTTAATATCTTTGTGTGTCTTCATGAAATTTAGCAAATTTTCAGCAGATATTAGAAGTCTTTTAAACACAAAAAATCAAATTTTTTAATTCCATATTTTGACTAAAAATTTGTCTATGAATATGTGGAGTCAGAGTGTTGAATATTCTGAGTGCAAAGTGATTTTCATGTTAAGATTAAAAATACTTTCCTTCTTCTGAAAATTTTCAAATTTCATTTGCATAACCTCAAAAACCTTCTAAATAAGTGTTAAACGTTTTTCTCAATAAAACTTTGTTTTATTTGTTATTTTCCCTATCCTAACTCTATATGGACTCAGTTAATTTGACCAACCTTTTAATAACCATAAAGAAAATAAAATAATCTAAGTTACCTCTTTTTTACTTTCTAAAATGATTGCAAATTGTAACAGAAAACTACAATAGTTTATCCTAAATAGCTTAAAGCTCCTAACAGTCTACATCTATTTATACTTAATTTTCTTGTTTTATTGCCTTTAAAGATGTCTAACTAATAATCCCACCATGCAATTTGTAAATCACTTTCCAAATGCATATCTCACATTACTGTAATGAATGATGTAACACACGAGCTGCTTGCAAGCATATCTCATGAACAATTTTTTATTATTATTATTATCTTACCGAACCTAACTGTTCCTTTGTTTATAGCACATTACAAATCATCCTCTTGATACATTATTCACACTTCTTGCTGGACCCATGAACTAGTTTAGTATAGAACCTAGTATGATCCTTTGTTTATTGCACATTACAAATCATACTCTTGATTCATTATTTAGTTCAAATTGATATTAACTTTCTTTATTGGATTGTATAAGAAATATGGCCATATATCGAACTAGTAGGGATATGTGTATGTTGGGTACTTGTAAGTCTTCATGAATTTTGATAATTGGCCTAGAGATTTTGACAGTTGAAAGCATTATTTGTATGATAATTTTTAGATAATGTTAACATGATCACTAAAGATGGGATCTTGTAAAAGATCTCAGGATCATATTATGAGGTTTTAGTCAAATTATGAGACTTGTTCAAAAGATAGATGTCTGTAGGTGTGGGGGATATACACACCAGCTACTGACATAACTTTTGCATTTATGTAAATTAGTTTTCTAGTAAAGATATTGTTTAGTTTACTAAGGAAGCTTACCAGATATGATTCCAAAATAAAAATACCTGTTATAATTTGAGTTTTACAAGTAGTGTTTGTGTTCTATATTGACAGAATTAATTATTATTCATCTTTTTTTGTGTTTTAGAACACATTTGTCAAAGTAAAAACTGAGCAAAATGGTGGTTCAACAAAGGATGGCATTATTTCCAAGTTCAGTGAGAGTGATGGTGAAACTGTTGATTGTTCAGAATTTGATGTTATAAGTTTGAAAAGTGAATCAAAAGAGGAGTTTCAACAAGTTAACTCTGAGTTAGAAGGTTTATTAGGTGAGTGTAAATTTCCAGAACTATATCAATTGACCATATGGATAGTAGATGTGATAGTAGAAAACTTGTGTTACTGCATTGCATTTAATAATGATGATAATGTACGGTTTATATGTAATAAGATTTATAATGCAAAATTGGCTTAAATATTTAGCATTTGGTGGTTCACCAGTCATCTAATATAACTTGTTTTATACTTGACAGCTTTATTTGAAATCAGTTTGTTCTCTAATTCTGGATTCTTAGGTCATCAAAAAACAGATTGCATTTGGTCAAGTAGTAATGAATCATTTAAGCATATCAGAAAACAATTTACAGAAACAGTTTTGATATTGTTCCATAAGTGTAGTATTAAAAAACGAAAAAAAAAACCAACAATTAACGTAAGTTAAGAAGAAATAAAGCACTTAATCAGTTAAAAAGGGTTGTAGGTATAACAAAGAATTGTACTATTGAACAAAGGAGATTTTATGAATAAAGTTCAAGATACTTTAAAGATGAAACTGAATTTAAAAAATTTGTGAAAGATCCTATGGAAACAAAAGTAAATAATTTTAAAATTATTTACTAAATATAAAGAAATAAAATAGTTAATAAATGACAATGAGTATATTAAGACTGGGAGGATCACACACACACACACACATTTTTCATAGGTAACATAAAGTCCTATAAAAGGATGTCTGATATAACCAATTGTATCTAATATTGGTACATATTATTGTAAATTGACAGATTTTCTTGTAAAATATACTGCCATTAACTATTGACTATATGCATACAGCTGAATCAAAGTGTACATCACAATATTTCACAAATTACATTTATAATTTAAGTACATAACTGTATCATCAATGTATATCAACGAAATTGTCATCAAAAAGTAGTTTATAATTCAAATTTTTAGTTATCCAAGGCTTTGGTTACTTTATTTGAAAATAAAATACAGAAAATTATCACTTTTCACTTCTCCGTGTCATGTGACACATCTGAGCTCCAAATTCTTCTTTATAGTTTTTATATCTTCCCACACATAACTTTCAGAGTCCAAACAATTAGAAACACAAGCAATACATAATGATATGTGAGAATATAAAATTTAAATTTCATACCTTCTTGATTTGATGAGATATCAATAAGATGTTGAACACTCACCGGAGAAGCCCATATCATCCTCTTGTAGTTCTCAAGGCAGTTATCTAAACGCATGTTCTTATTTGGTGGACATGTTTATACCCAATATAAAGAGCATATCATCCTGTATAAGAACTTGTTAAAAGTTTTATTTTGGGCAAGCATACATAGACAATTTGTTTTAGATTTTTTGCCTGTAGTCATCGTTCAACTCTAAACAGCTAAAAGAGTTTTTAACCCATTTAAGTAGAAAGCCATTTCAATTATAGTAGTTTGGGGACATTTCATTCTAGTACTTGATATATATTTTTTGTGTTGCAAAATGTGTGTTTTAAAAAAAGCCTCAAATCAGATGTGAGTGCTGAATTTCTTATTTTATATGTATATTTTTTTATTGTTCTATATTTTAAAAAAGTAATTAAAATGTAAAAATTAGTTATCTCCAAGGCTAGGTAACAAAAATAAAATGATGTGAAATTTTATGGGCTTAGGAAATTAACATCCCTAGAGCTCACCACAGAATTAAACTGCATATAAAAACTGAAGTTTGATTGGTTTGTTTAAATATTGGGGTGGGGTAGGTCATACATATGTCCTTTTGCTGTGGTTTATAGCTTTACAAGGAGTAATAAACAGCTTTCCCTGAACAATGTCAGCGATGAAACAATAAAATTAAAATAAAACAGATGTGTAAAGGTTAACAGCTGAAATTCTGACAATAATTATATTGAAATTCTGGCAACAAATGATGCATTAAAAAGAAGAAAAAGGTATTGTTAATTGTATTTCATATTTTTCTAACACTTCATTTCACTGTAGGTTGATAATTTTGCAGCAGTTAGTGTTAGGTAGAGAAAATGACAGATAAAACTTAACATTCTACCAAAACTTGTATTCTGAAAACTGTAAGATGAAAATAAGTATTTTTATGCATAACATGAAAATCACTTTTCACTCAGACTGACTCAGTAAAGGCTTCATAAATTCTCAAACATGTCTTTGGTAAAAATACATCATTACAAAATCAGTTTTTTTTTTGTACAAAACACTTGTAATATTTACTAAATGCCTTCATAAGTAAACACCACTAAGTACAGATTCACAGACTGAACTGATTCTGAGTGTGTAGGGTTAAAGCATTTACTATTTCAGACAGTTTTTCAAACGAATACGGAACTTAAATTTTGGAAACAGTGTTTATTATAGTACCTCCAATATTGAATCATTATTCACAAATATAACTTGGGATGAAATATTTGATTTTGTTGTTAACCTCATCGCCAGGGGTATCCTTTACTGTGCATGACACAAGGTTTTAGTGTCTTACACTCAAAATTTTATTTAACCACTTTTTGTTTATGTTATTCTAATTAGAATAGCATAAAATCTTAGCTAATAATCCATATTTTTTTTAATAATATATAGGTTTTAGGTTCTTAATTCTACAAGGCAGTATAAAAAAATATATAGAATTTTTCCTAGTGTTACCCACGTGACACATTTTCTTTTAGCATGTCATCTTTTCTATTTTATCCACCACACATAAAAAAAATATGAAATTATACATAAATTACTCTATAAAATCATCATTGCTCAGATAAACCATAATTTTTATAGTTTTCAATTTTGTTTGGTTACAGAGCTATTGATTATAAAATCAGACACCTCCTGCTACACCTATTTATTACATCCTCTCTTTCAGAATTTGTTAATAGTTTTAATTATATATTACCTATAACCAATAGAAAGTCAAGGTTTCATCTATCAAATGACGTATTGTATAACATTATGTTTGGAATGGTTAAATGTCAGTTTCACTGAGAGCACCAACATCGTTCCTGTGAGAAAGTTAATGACTAGCTTGAATGAATTTATAATGACCCTTGTCGCATAGTTAGAAAGCCAGAAAATTTTTGAGAGGTAAAGGAATTTGTCTACTTTATGCACGTTATTAGTCTATATTCTTTGGTGCATTATTTGATTAAATAAAAATTATCAAGTGCATTATTATCATTAGTATAAAAAACATTAGGGTTAACTCTTCTTGAGAATTGACAGCAAGAAAAATGAAGATTGGTTAAGTATTTTATTTCTTGTTTTTTATGTTTATTCTTTATGTATAATTATAAAAGTAACTAAAATGTAAAAATAGGGATCCTTTTAGATTAGTTAAGATTAGATTAGGTAGAATAAATAATAATATCATAATAAAAATGTTTCACGAGGCACATGTGCACGAGCAGCTCGTAGTAGCTCGTGGGTAGTGTAATTTGTTAGCATAGCGTGAGCTGCAAGTTCCCCGAGTTATTGACAACTTGTAATGGTGTGGATAGTAGTTAAACATGGTTTAAATGGCAATTAAATAATAAAATTTAATTATAAATAGATGTATATTGTTATGAACTTAGAGCTATTTAGGATAAACAAATGTAGTTTCATGTTACAATATGAAGTCATACTAGAAATTAAAAAAGGGTAATTTAGATTTATTTAGATTTTTTTTTTGTGGTTAAAAGGTCGGTGGAATTGACCAATTCTGTGTTGAGATAGGGTGAAGAAAATAACAGATAAACTATAAAGTTTTACTGAAAAAACGTATAAAATGCATTTAGGAGGTTTTAGGGATTACACGAAGGAAATTTGAGATTTTTGAAATGAGGAAAAGTATTTTTAATTTTAACATGAAAATTACTTTTCACACAAACTATTCAAAACAAATACTCAATATATTCATGGACAAATCTTTATTTTATTAAAAATACTTCACTAAAAAGTATGATTTTTTTGTATGTGAAAGACTTGTAATATGAACTGAAAGACTGCCAAATTTTGTGAAGATATACACGCTATATTGAAAGATAGACGTATTAAATCTGTAAAGACTTATAAACAAGTACAAAGAGGTCACATGGTTGGTCAAATTGACCAAGCCCATGTTGAAAGAGTTAATCAGGAAAACCAACATAAATTCAGTGAAGAAGTACTTGGAAAATTATTGGACTTAGCTATGAAATAATCACATTTTGTGTTTAATGAAGAGTTATATGAGCAGATAGATGGAGTTACTATGGGATCTAGATTAGAAGCAGTGCATGCTATATAAACATAAGTTCTATACAAATATTTTTGTACTATTTAACCCCACACATACATAAAAATACTTCTTTCTTCCATCATTTTATTTTTACAGGAAAAATATTTTCCTATTCAGGAAAAGCATGCCAGCAGGTGTTGATTAAATGTTTAGCATCTTGTTTTGCTTCTGGTTGTCATCTGTCTTCAACATCAGCAAGTAATGTTCGGCCTACTGTCTTATCTTCTTCATCTACTTCTAGTTTTCTTCCATTTTGAATGGTCTGACATTACAGTGAACATGGTGGTTTTTTTTTTAAGCTGCTTACCGAATCTCTTCTGTTCCAGAGTACTCCTCTGTCTAGAAATTTGGGTAGTCATCTTGAATCATTCATTCATTTGTGAAAGCTTTGGCTTTGAGATCCATGGGTTTGACAGATCTTTTGGTTCAATCTTTACCTTCTCATTTTTCATCCTCTCGTGTTTTTATGCCCTTCTTTCCAATCCTGTTTGTTTATAATTTCTGTATCAAGATGTCTCAGATCTCATTCTGAAAGGAGCAATATAAATAGTTTATCACCCTTCTTCAGTGTTTGCTTTAATCTCTTTGTAGTTTTAAAGAAAATTGGAGATTGAAAACTTGTCAAAGACTTCTTACAATTCAAGTTTTACCTGTATAAATCTCATTTCAAAATGGAGAACTTAAGGATGTTATGGGTATTTCTTTGAGGAGAGTGGATGACAAAAGTGGATATACAGAATGTTTATTTTTTTATCCCAATTCATGCATCATAACATCATTGTTTACTACTAGGGAGTAGTTTATCAGTTCACTGCCCTTCTCTTCAGTTTGGCCTTGTTTCGAAAGAGTTTCCTGGTTTTCTCCATTACCTTGACACCGACTATCACTTCTACATAGATGATTGTCTTAACCACTGTATTTCTTACACAGATTTATTTAACCAAATAATTAGCTACATCTTGGGTGAAAAATCCACAACTTCAAATCTCATTTAGTACAAACATAATATTTGGTACTTTAGTATTTTAAATCAAAAACTGTTAAAAGAGCACTTCAGCCATCTCCTCCACTGTTGCAAGCTCAGGAGTCTTGTTGATACTAATTTATGTTCTATACCTATTACCAAAGAATCATAGACATTATTTCTGCTTTAATAATTATGGTTTCGCTTCATGAATTCATTCCCTTGAAGCATGTTCACTTTTATCACCTCCAGTGGTACCTTGCTTCTCAGTGGTGTTTGACTTCGGACTCTTTATCACAACAACATGATCTCCTTTCCTTCTTTTTTCTTTAGACTGTCATCATTTAACAGATGCTTCTTTCAAGGGATAGGGTGTTGTGTGGGGGAAGCAGTGTTGTTCTGGTTTGTGGACTTCTTAAGAAGCAATGGTTTACATCAGTGTGTTAACTTTTTTTTCATCGCCATTCTAATTTTAATTCATAGAGACAACTTTGATGCAGTAGCTTGCCCAAATGATTAAGGTGATATTCGTTTTTGCAGCAGTTTCTCTAATTCTTTGGCTTGATTCTCATCACATCCACGTTCAGTACCATAAGTTTCTCTTTGTGATACAGTCTTTGGCTGACTCACTTTCTATATGTCCACACCTTTCCATAGGGTAGGACCCTTCACCCTTTAGATTTTCAGTGATTGTTCACTGTAAGATGTGTTCAATTCATTTACCATATAATGACCCTGATCACTAAACATATAAACAACAAGTTCTGTTCTTTGGACATTTCTTTTAAATAAAATTCATAAAAATTTTAGGTTTGAGACTTTTTTCCGGGGTTAGTGGAACTGCTTTAAATTTCTTTACAAGGCAACATAAAGGCTATATTGCATGGGGTATGTTTTTAGCATCTGAATTTGTACAATGTAAAGTACAATGTAGAAGAAAATTTGTCATATTTTTGTTTAATTTTGATTAATGTTGCTTAAGAATTTGCAAGTATCAATTTATTGATCTTGTTTGTTTGTTTGTTTTTTATTGGAAATTGATTATTGCATTTCAATTGCCTCTTTCTTAATGCATTTGTTACATAACTATATGGTGTGGACTTTTTATCTGATATAATTCCAAGCTGGTTACCATCAAAATTATGTTATGTAGACAGGATCATTATGAAACCTGCTCATGGTGATAACAGGTAAAAAGAAAATGATACTGATCGATAACATATAAACATCAAGTTACATTCTCTGATCATTTTTAAAATAAATGCCATACAAAATTTTAGGTTCAAGACTTTTTTTCAAGATGGTTAGATTTAATGCAAAAGGAGTTTTTTTATGTAGGCCACATGAAGGCTATATTGTATGGAGTATCTTGTTATGATATTAATATATGTAATATAAAGTACAATGTAAAAGAAAATTTGTCATTTTTTTGTTACCTTAATAAAGTGATTAATATAGGTTAAACATTTACAGGTATTATTTTATTGGTCTTTTGTTTTTTGAAAATTTATTATTACATTTAATTTGTTATTTATAACATGGTTATAACACTTTATTCAGTAGTTAAAGAATACACTTACACAATTAGAAGTTAGTAAATTTATGCTTTATTTAACACTAAAGTAGCCAATTACTACCTTCATTCTAGTTGGCGGTTCAAAATTAGGGATGGTGGCAGATAGCATTTGTAACTTTCCCATAACTAAAAAAAAACAAAGAAACAGATATAATGCTTCTGTGGCTGAAAGTTTGCTGATAATAGGAATCAAACTTAAGTGAGAGCCTCACATTAATAGGCAACCCCCATAATCACCAGGCCATGCTGGTCTAAAGCTGAAACAACATGAAATAAAAAAGAACAGGTACCCCATTGTGTAGCTTTGTGCTTAGCAAACAAACAAACATAATGATAATATTTCAATTACTTGGATAATTGGAATTATTTGAAATAGTAATAATCTGAAATTCAAATTTAGATTATTTGACTATTTTTGTAAGTTGTGAAACAAATTAGTTAAGCTAAACAGTTTGAATTAATAAAAAAAAATCATAAAAATATTTTGATTAATTAATTGTTGGAATTATCAAAAACACTGATTATGTTTGTGAAATTACTTGATCTGATTGTAAGTTTGTTTGATTGATTATTTTACCTGACACTAATTGGTATTAAATGATGCCCATAGTTAATTGATGATATTGATTAATAGAGCTAATTGTCCATCTCTAATGATATGAGTACTGGACTGTTTAATCCAAATTTGATGGTTTCAGGTGTATGGGTACCTTTTTATGGTTGGTTTTAATGTTTTTTGGAATTAAACCTTACTTAAAAGCATTTATTATGTAACTAAATCAATATATATTATCTATTGTTATTAATTACTTTATTTCTTTAAATGCATCTTTTGATTGTAGATCCAAAGACGTACTTGAACAACTGTTGTGGAAAGCAGTTTGATGGAAATCATATTGTAACACAAAAACCTCTATTTTCAAAGTCAAAAAATTTCAAATCCCAGAATTCCAGTGGCATTAATGTGTATGATAAAACATTTTCCAGGTTAAATAACCAAAATATACATAAAATTTCCCATAGTGAAGCCGAAATTGTGTGCGACAGAGAATTGGAAAAAAATCACCACATGAGAACAAATGCTTGTAAGAAACAATACAATTGTGGAGTGTGTGGCAAACAATTTGTAACAAATAGTAATCTAAAGATACATCTGAGGATACACACTGGGGAGAAACCATACACTTGTGTATTATGTAATAAAAAATTTAGGAGTAAAAGTCAGCTTAATGGACATGGGAAGGTGCACACTGGGGAGAAACCATACAGTTGTTTAGAATGTGGTAAATCATTTGTAACAAATTCCTATTTGCAGGAGCATATGAGGATACACACTGGAGACAAACCATACAGTTGTGTAGTATGTAATAAACAATATCGAAGCAATAGTCAGTTAAAGATACATGAGAGAATACACACTGGGGAGAAACCATACTGTTGTGTGGTTTGTGATAAAAAATTTGGAAGTAAAAGTCAACTTAAAAGACACGAGAAGGTGCACACTGGAGAGAAACCTTACAGTTGTTTAGTGTGTGGAAAGAAATTTGGGAGTAAAGGTGAACTTAAAAGACACGAGAGGGTGCACACTGGAGAGAAACCATACAGCTGTTTAGTGTGTGGAAAAAAATTTGTAAGAAATACCTGTTTACAAGAACATGTGAGAATGCACACTGGAGAGAAACCATATAGTTGTGCGATATGTAATAAAGGATATCGGAGCAATAGTCAGTTAAAAAAACATGAAAGAGCACATACTGGGGAGAAACCGTACAGTTGTGTAGTTTGTGATAGGAAATTTGGAAATAAGAGTCATCTTAATGGCCATGAAAAGATACACACTGGTGAGAAACCATACTGCTGTGTAGTGTGTGGAAAAAAATTTGTAACTAATAGCTGCTTGCAAGCACATGTGAGGATACACACTGGAGAGAAACCATACAATTGTGTAGTTTGTAATAAAGGATATCGAAGCAACAGTCAGTTAAAAAAACATGAGAGAGTGCATACTGGGGAGAAACCATACACTTGTGTAGTTTGTGATAAAAAATTTGGGTGTAAAAGTCATCTTAATAGCCACGGAAGAATACACACGGGAGAGAAACCATACAGTTGTGTAGCGTGTGGTAAAGGATTTCGAAGCAATAGTCAGTTGAAAGAACACGAGAAAGTACATACAGGGGAAAAACCGTATAGTTGTGTAGTTTGTGATAGAAAATTTAGGAGTAAAAGTAATCTTAATAGGCATGAAAAGGTGCACACTGGAGAAAAACCATACAATTGTTTAGTGTGTGGTAAAGAATTTGAGAGTAATAATAAACTTAAAAGACATGAGAGGATACACACTGGGAAAAACCGTACAGATGTATAGTGTATGATAAAATATTTGGAAGTAGTAGTTAACTTAAAACTCATCAGAGAACACATACTGGGGAGAAGCCATATAGTTATGTAGTGTAAGTTGATGAATTCAGAACAAATAGTGACATTAAAATTTGTCTAAAGATGTACACCAGGGAAAAATTGTACAACTGCAAGGAAGAAAGTTTGTAAGTAATGATAACACATTGGAGGGTTCAGAGCGTGGAAAAAATTATACTGCCATTTAGGTTGTAGTAAAGTACTTGAAGTAAATAATGACCAGAAAAGATTAGAACACACACTGGGGAATAATCGCTGAGGTGTTTAGTGCATGGGATACATTTGTAAGAAATAGTAATATAGAAGAGCATGCAAGAACATATACTTGGGAGTTGTTTGGTATGTTCTAAGAAGTTTGTAGAGAGTTAACACCTTATTATGTCTAAAAATGTACAGAATTGGAAGAGAACTGCAAATTTCTAAACTCAGGGAGGTGTTAAGTGTTGTGGCATGTCATCAAAAGCATTTCTCAATTTGTTTGCTGTTTGTAACGTGTCATTTAATTTGTTAATAAGCTGCTTCATCTCAACTAGAATTTTGTGCATACATTTATAATGATTAATCAAAAGTGTAATTGATGTTGAACTACTGACTAGAATGAAAGCAACTTGGTGGCAGCACAAACCACAGAATTTGTTGTTGTTTACCTGATGACTACAGGAAAGACAAGCAATTGGCAACACCCACTGTCAACCTTTTTCATTTGTTTTTGTTTGTTGTTGTGCTTGTACGTACCATGGATTGATAAACACTTTACTGATTGATTAATCAAATGTAACTCATTAATGTGGCCATCAGTTAGCAACTACCACTTATCAACCAGCTCTAGCATTAAGTCAAGAAGTGGTGAACTGTTTTGGCATTAATAGAAGTTCTTTGCTTTAGTAATATTGTTTATTTTGTAAGTAAACTCTCAGATAAACTCAGCTTCTGTACACACATTTCTATTGATTAATCAAGAAGTGTAATTGTTGTTGAAAGTTTTATTTTATACTTGGGTATGATTTTATTTTGTAAATTATTTCATTTTCTCTAGAGAGATTTTGGTGATTTGGAACTTTGGTTTCTGTGTTTAGCTTGAATTTCATTTTGCATTTTATTGGTTTTTGTTATTATTACATATTTTGTTTTGAATTTTGATATAGTGTTTGTTTAGTGAACACCAATAATTCAGTGGGCGAGGGTTTCTTTTTCATTGGTGAGGGTTTCTTCTATATTTATATGTATTATTATTATTATGTCTTAGTTTTTTAATAATGATAAGTTCTTGTATATGTACTATGTATTCATAGTTAATCAAAAGATTGAACATGTGTGTTTCACAGTTTTATATTGTAATTAAAATGTTTTTGTATATTATGTTTTAAAGGGCTTGTATGTATGTATATTGTTATCAAGTATACATTCTGTTCTTTTGTATTGTATATTTGATGTTTAAGTGTCTTGACATATCTTATTTGTATGAAGGTGTTTGTTGTCTGTATTGTTTATTTAATGGGTTTATTTGGTTTAGTTTAATTGTTATATCCTGTGTGAGAGTTGAGGGTGTTCATTGCATATATTATACTTTTGTAGGATTTATTTGAATTGTATCTTATATGTGATTGAAAGTGTTTGTTGTATCTGTAATTCTTTACACATATGGTTTGTTTAGTGATTTACAATGTTACTTAACCTGTGCTGGTATCTGAACTGTGTTGTAACTTGGTGATAAACTTAGTCAGCTCAAGGGCAAGCCTAACATTCTAAATCTAGTCGATATCATGTGATAAATTCAGTCATAAAACTTTCTGGAATTTTGAAACCACTTTTTTAATTTTAGATAAAAACTGAACAGTTTTCAAACAGACGAAATTAACTTCAATTATATTCAAAGACATTATAAAATTTGATTTCCAAAGTTAATTCTGTGTTCTTGTTAATTTTTCTAGTTTTAGTGTTCAAATATTTTAGATTGAAACTTGTATTGAAATAAGTGGACCAAAATCACTTCTTCTTGCCTAATGTTAAATTAAATTGTTTAGCTACAGGTAATAAATAATGATTTGTATATTTCATTTAACTCATTACACCAACTAGTCTCAACAAGTAATCAATAATAATAATAATAATAATGGATGTTGTCTGTTTATTAATGTGATATTCAGGGACACTGGTATCTGCCTGGTAGTTACAAGTATTCACAAGAATACAGATATTTGACTCTTAAGTGAAGATTCAGTGAAACAGGATAGCAAAGGAAATGCAACAGAACAAGTAACTGAGTCTTTATTCGCAGTTACAGGATGGTGTATTTACCAGATTGGCCAAATTGCAGCATTCTGTTGACTTTAAGTGGCTGCTTCAGTAAAGAAGAGAAGGGAAGAAATAATTTTACCACACCTCCAAATCATATAAAAGATTTAAGCACAGTATTGGTGTCACCACCATGAGAAGTAATGTAGAAAGATTTATAAGTTTATGGTATCTTGATGTCCGGTTTACAATAACGTCACAACTGCATGCAGTTCACCTGCACAATTTTTTGAAAAATTATCCAAATAACTGTGCTTCATATGAATAACCCTGAAGAATTATGTTTCTTGTTTTTATAGTGTGTCCTATTAAACAAAGTTAAGTTTGAGTTACTAGTGCTGAAGCTAGTAGGACCTTACTCGTTGTTCAAGTGTATTGTGGAAAGTCAGCACTTAACTAGGTAGCACAAACTTTGTTCTGGCAAATAGTAACAAGCTACATATAAGGCACATCCCAAAATTACCTTTGGGACAGTTGTTTGAAACAAAAAACAGTTACACCTTTTTTTCACAGAGACAAAGGTGATGCCTGTCCACAAAAACAACTGCCATGTGGACTTTCTAGGAGCATAAGGGATGTTGTCAGCAAATGTCGAAACACAGTAGTAGGATAATAACACCTTCAGAGAGTGCTTGGTTGCTGCTGGTGATGGCTGTCAAAGAGAAGAAAGGAAGTTTCCATGTCAAGTGGATAGGTGAATGCTGTAGAAATGTCTACATGCATTGGAAGGTGCCCATTGACTGATGATGGAAGAAGACTGGAAATTGCTTTCAGGACCCGAGAAGGACTGGATGAATAAAATAACATCCCGTTTGGTCTTTGTGATGCAACTAAACAAATTCAAAAGGCTTACGTATCTTATGCTAGAGGATTTCAGTGAGATGATTCATCTTTTTGAATGACACCCTACTTTGGTTGCACATTTTAGGCTGTAGCTGAGAACTTGAGAATGGTATTCTAGATCACAAAGTATTCAAATTTAAAATTCTAAACTGGAAAGTGTATTCATATGCATAGGAGTGAAGTTTCTTGGCCACATGTGAGACAGGGATGAAATCTCCACTGTTCCTTTGAAGTTGATATTATACAAAGACTGTTTGTAGTCTAAGATCAAACAAGATGTCCATAGCTCTCTAGGTTTACACTTCATTATTGATTTTATTTGACCAGTTTTTGTAAATTAGCCGAACCATTCTATACATTATGTGAACACAGTAATATGAAAATGTCTACCAGTATTTTAAGTGGATTTATGTAAAGCACTATTGCTGACTACTCTTGTTCGTATTAACCATTTTTTCTAAATACAGATATCAATGATTTTGGAATTGGATCAGATTTGTAACATGAACAGGATGGTATAGAGAATGTAGTTCTGTGTGTGTGTGTGTGTGTGTGTGAGTTGTATGTTAACTTCTCCTGCATAATCCAAAACATGCAGAATGAACAGGAATAAATAAATAATAGAAAAGAAACCTAATAAATCATGCACTTTTGGAAAGTCCATAGTCCATCAAAGATGTATTGACCGAGTAGTGGATAACATTTTGAAGCACCTTGAGAGATTCATATGAATCAAGGAGCCTCTTATGATAGTGGTTTACTTAGCTGTGCTAATGGTTACATATTGTGATAATGTACACTTCGCCATATCCTCAGTGTGACCAAACAGGTATGCTTGCTAAGTTTGTGAACATTGGCTGTATTGACTGGGATAAGCACTTACGGTATGTTACAAAGGTGTACTGAACAACAGACAACTGGTGTTCATCAAATCTCTCAATCTTCAGATGAGAATAGTAGCTTCCTGTGGATCATATGTATGGCCATTCATTTGGTACATAAGATCCACGGGAATATGTGAATTACTGCATTCTGCAGTAGTTAATGTGCATGTCAGTAAATGGGTAAAGCAGCCATATATCAAAAAAAGATTCCATGACAAACAATAATAAAATAAAAGTTCAATTCAGATAACTGGATTTTGCTATGGTATGTAACCTACTTCTGGCCGGATTAATCCTTATCTTAACAGAAAAATGAAGTGAATTAAGAATTATAGCAATGGCATCAAATATGTAAATAAACTTGGACTCTTATATTGCTGATAACCCTCTTAAGAACTGGTTACTCCAGAAATCAGAAGTTAAATATCAGGGTGTCTGATGAAGACAGCAATGTATAGTATAATCTCAACTCAGCTCATGAAAAGGAAGAAACTAGCAGCATACTCTGTGATGGATAAGATAAGGAAACTGTTGTAGGGTCAATCTGTGTTTTTATCAATGGCCAAGAACAACTCTCTAATCATTATGAAATGGTGGTTCAAAGTAAGATGTTTTTAGATCATTGTTTGGAAATATCTCGATTATTCTACAGTTAGGATGATTGGTAGAAAAAGCAACAGCTGAAAGGGTTCTGTTGATGTGTTCTGATGTATTATGATCATTACTCTATTTGTCTAGCTAAATGATAGCAGCACTTATTTGGAGAAGAGTGAATAATACTTAAGACAGATCAGGTTCTCTCAAAAAAATTCCAAGGTAAATTTTCATTTGCTTTCAACAGTAGATGATAGTTTTGACTGTTGGTAATGGCTATGAACTCTAAACCATTATGTTGAAAGAATCTTGTAATCCTAACTTTCTGAATTTGAATCAGAATTAGAGTTCTTTGAATTGTTTGACACACTGTAGCCATTTCAGCTGTGTGGCAGATATTTTATGACACTTTAAGGTTAAGTCCTCTGTATTTTTTGTTTATATAATGCCCAAACCTGATGTGGGTAATGCATACACTCTTCAAAAGATGACACTGTTGTTTTTCCAATGTAGTCACAGCTCCCAGTCTGATCTAAAATTTATTCTAACATAGGTCTTATCAGATGTCTAACACATAATCTTGTTATTCTGTGTATATTAAAAGGAGCATAACATATGATGACCAAAGGTGATGTGGGTAATGCATACACTCTTCAAAAGATGGCACTGTTGTTTTTCCAATGTAGTCACAGCTCCCAGTCTGATGTAAAATATCTTCTAACATAGGTCTTATCAGATGTCTAACACATAATCTTGTTATTCTGTGTATATTAAAAGGAGCATAGCATATGATGATCAAAGGTGATGTGGGTAATGCATACACTCTTCAAGAATGGCACTGTTGTTTTTCCAATGTAGTCACAGTTCCCAGTCTGATCTAAAATTTCTTCTAACATAGGTCTTGTGAGATGTCTAACACATAATCTTGTTATTCTGTGTATATTAAAAGGAGCATAGCATATGATGATCAAAGGTGATGTGGGTAATGCATACACTCTTCAAGAATGGCACTGTTGTTTTTCCAATGTAGTCACAGCTTCCAGTCTGATGTAAAATATCTTCTAACATAGGTCTTGTGAGATGTCTAACACATAATCATGTTATTCTGTGTATATTAAAAACAGCATAGTCAGTAATGGAAATGAAGATGAAAAAAATAAAACAATAGCTTTATTTACAATGATTAAAACTGCAAGCCTCTATTCTGTGGCTAGTTTCTGTTTATCACAGAATGATTGCAACTTTCAATTCAGAATAGCATTCTAGTGTGAACCCCACAATCCCTAGATTACCTACTTTAACATTTATTGACTGAGAACCCGTAATTCATACTGACTTGTACACGTCTCTGCTTTGCCCCATAAAATGAGCTTAATTCAATTTTTAGTGCATTCTTTGGGCCAAGTATGTTCAAGCTATAGAATGCATGTAGCTTTTGCCTAATTATAAGAACCTATAGGTGAAAGTAAAGAAGATTTTAATATGTCAGCTTATTATAGCTGCTATAACCAATACCTATGTCAACTGTTTATATCGTCAATAGTTTTAACAACAACTGTTTCCATGTTGGTGGACTATAGTACAGGGTGTCCCAGAAGTCTGGACCTATAGAGAAAATATACAATGTATTCTTAATTTATTTATTATTTAAATTGCCTGCCATTAACAAACATACACAAATCAATTCTTGGTATACTGTGTCATCAGGGTATTTTCTTTTCTGAAATATTTACAACTGACATTAGAAATGTGTTTGTTTAACTTTAAGAATATAATGTCTATTTTCCTTATGAGTCCAGACTTCTGGGACACCCTGTATTTATTGTTTTTGCTATACTTAAGTCAAGGTAGAGGTTTGGTATATGTTTGTGACCTTTGTACATCCAGTTTACAAAGAAGATGCTAGCTACATGCAGAACAAGTGTACAAAAATCTAGAAAAATTATCTGAATAGGTGTGTATTAAAGATGTATACCATACTAGTTATGAAAGGGAAAAACATGATGATATTAATGTAATTTCTGTAACTTCTTGAATTTAGAAAGAAGTGTGTACATCTTTTATGTTATGAATGTCTTTGTAATTAAGTATGTGTTTGTTGTGTATCTTACATATTGAATAAATTGTCTTTGATTTTCTGTTTTTATATTGTTTTCAATTTCTTTCTTCAGTTCAGTCAAAGTCAATTTTTTTTACTTAATACCACATAATGTTTTTCACTGTTTCTCTTGTAATTGAGATTACTGTTCTACCACAATGTTTTTTACCATTCCTCCTGTTATTGAGGATACTGTTCAT